AATTAGATTCAAATATTCAAAACATGCCAGTGAGAAGAGAAGGTCAATCATTTGGAAATTATATTAGCCATATCTTGGAGGTAATTTTTGCTGTGTCTAGTGTACCTGAACTACATATACAAGAACTAAGGAGAGCAATATAATCTCTTGCCATCATGTGCGGAAAAACATGTTAGAATCAAGACAAAAATTTATATATTACAATAAGCCAACCAGGGTGTTAAAAATCGTCCCACTTAGCATATTACCTTCATCAACTTCTGTTTCACAGACTGAATTCTCTTTGCATGTACCTTGCATGTACCTTAGCAATATCATGTTTTCTAAATGCTTTTGCCCTTAATTTTCACAATACCAACTGAGATGTAAATGGGAAACATTTTGGGCAGGTCACTTGAAAAGTCAAATCACCAGCATTATTTTATTTCTTCATACTCAATATGCACCACACTCTTTTGTTTCTTCTATTACTCCTTTATTTTATACTATTGCCCTCCATTCTTTATAACTGCTATCATTTATTCTAAATAGATTCTAAAATTAGAAAAAATAACGTGAAATTTAATGTTTCTCAGAAGAGTTGATTTGAAAGAAGATTGTATAAAATAATTTTTAACTGAAGATATTGACCTGTTTATTTTTACTATACATACTAATTATTATGGGATATGTCGTATTAGATTGATGTATTTTGACTTAGTATATATGCATGCATTCGTTTTCCCCCTGATTTGTAGGTGAAGTTTTAAATTTTAACAGACATAATTAAAGCAAATCACAGAGTATATTTGCAAGATGATGATCTAAAATTCAGGTGTGCTTAAATAATAATATATTATTTCTAGAGTATGGTCGGATATTATTTCATATGCTTACAAGCTATTTTGCATGTATCTCCCACTCTACACCTTGTACTACCTGTATAAGTCTTTTACCAAGTTTTTGATGTGCTTGTCAGACTTGATTGATTTGTATGAACATGTATATAGTTAAAAAATAATAATAACACTGTCTTTCAAGTGAAATGAAAATATTTTGTTTGGATTTACATTTTTAAATCATTATTTTAAATTTTATATTTTATACTTGTCTATGTGTTTTATGGCATTTGAGTTTTCTCAATGTCTCAATGTCTTTCTTAGAAAAGCATAGATAGAAAATAGATAGAAATAGAGATACACACACATTCATAGATATATAGATATAGCTTTTTCTGTATATGTAATGTTTTCTTCTATTGTTGCTTTATTCTTATAGTTTTCTACATTGTGCATATTATTTAGGGAAATTAAATATCCTAAAGTGATACTTAAAGGGTTTTTTTTTTTTTGCAAACAAGCAAATGAGTTTGAAAACCTACAAATTAATTTTTTTAAAGGAGAAACATTGGTAACTGTCATAATATTTTTTACTCTCTTCATTTTAAATTTTCCCTATCAGCTTGTAAATATATACACATTTTACACACTTTTGTTTAAAATAATTCAAGTGAGTATATAAAATTTAGTAATAAATGCCACTCTTGGGGCTATAGATTAACAATTATTTTAATTAATGGAATTTTGTCACTTGCATTGCATGTCAAAATGTGCTTCCTGTGATTATAGTGTGAAAGAGTGCCAACCAATGCAGTCCCAACTAAACTTCTGTAAAATATGAGTCACATTTCTGTGTGTTGTCTTGAAATTTATAGGCCTTATCTAGTTTTCCTTGTCCCAGTTTATATCATTCACTATCAAAAATATAGCCATGACGCTGATAAAATGTTGCTCTTCGTGCTGTTCAAAAATACTGTACCTTAGGAGAGACTCTCTATAAAACACCATTCTGACTGAAAAAATGGCATTTGGTGTTTGATCACTCGCATTAATATTGTTTTATTTTTATATAAAACAGTAAAACGGCAGTAACGTTGAGTTACTGATGACATTTTTATTAGCAAACTGTGGACTTGAGATGATGCTTCTAGTTTACTGGACATGGTAGCAAGCTAACATGTTAGAGTGTTGGAAACATTCAGGGGCTTGTATATAAGCAAAATTTCCTTTTAGCCACACCCATGAGGTCCCTAAATATCACCTAAAATAAATATATATTGAATTGCAGAGGTAATTACTAGGATTCCAAAAAAGAAGGAGAAAGACACACAGAGAGTGAGAGGGATGGAAGGAGGGAGAGAGGCTTGCTTCTCAATCATGAAGACAAAATATTTCTTTTTTTACAATGTATTAGAATGATCTAGAAATTAAAATAACAATTTCCAGCACAATATTCTAATATAAAAAGGATTTCATTGGACACTAAGAATAACCAGGCATTGAAATTTGTAATACTGGGGCTGGCCCAGTGGCGCAGTGGTTAAATTCGCATGTTCCGCTTCTCAGTGGCCCAGGGTTCGCCGGTTTGGATCCCTGGTGCGGACAGGGCACCGCTTGACAAATGCCATGCTGTGGTAGGCGTCCCACATATAAAGCAGAGGAAGATGGGCACGGATGTTAGCTCAGGGCCAGGCTTCCTCAGCAAAAAGAGGAGAACTGGCAGTAGTTAGCTCAGGGCAAGTCTTCCTCACAAAAAAAAAAAAAAAGAAAAGCAAAAGAAATTTGTAATGCTGTCTAACCATTATTTTAGTGTCATTGATGTCCTCCTAAAGGTCGCTGCTAAATGCAATAGTTCTGTGTTCATTAGGCAGTTATTGGTAGGAAATAGGGGCATTTATATTTAATGTACTGAATATTTTTTATCATTTACAGTTCTTTAAATTTTTATTTTGCTACTACTTCCAGGAAATGACTTATAGTTCTGTGATTTTATAACTCAAAAGTTGCTTTCAGGGTTATATAGGAAATATTACAAAATTGCTATTAAAAAATGTAATTTTTATATATAACTCTCTGGAAAATAATTAAAATTCACAGAAGAGGTTTTCTGTTGCTTTGAAATCCAAAAAAAGGTTGACTTATGTTTATTAAGACAAAATATCAACTAAACAAACAAATTGAAAATAGAATATAAAATAGTGATTTTTCCTTTTTTGTAGTTCTTTAATATAATCTTATATATGAAATACACATTTTCTGTAGTCCTTAAGAATGTAAATAACTAATCCTTACAGATTATGTTTAAAGGACTATTACCAAAAAAAACTATATTAATAGTTAGAGAATCTCTAAAATATCTTCTGAAATAGCTATATTCTTGTTTACGCATTTCCTTCTTCAAGAACTTTGCCTGGTTTTTCATATATGATATAAATTCTCACCTTCCTTATTTCATTCACTTCAGTAATTATTTTAGATTGGTATACAGATGAAGCATTCATAATGGTGGTTGATTTTATCATTGCAATTCAAGCAGGTCAAGAGAAAGTTCTGTTTTTATTTTCATATGTAGTAAAGCTTTACAATTTTTGCAATTTTTCTATTCTGTTTATGTAGCACCACTTTTAATATCCCATAAAGACTGTAATTTATGATTTAAAGGAAGCATGCTTTGTTGTTTATACCTCTATAGGGAGAAAGGGATAAATATGCCTCATAGTGTAATAGTTTTCAATAGAAGTGTTACCTTGTGAAATACTGTTTTCATATGTATCTCTTGGTGCCTACTAAATAGAGAGTTTTTTTTAGCACTAGCATCTTTCTTACATGCTACTTTAATGATACTATATATCTTTTTCATTTAATTTCATTAGCAGTATTAAACATATAATCCCCTAATGAACAGTTTGTTGAATACCCATTAAATTAAAAAGAAAGAAATAATCATTAAAATAATTAAGAAAACCATAGTTATTCTTCACAAGTTCTCTATAATCTGTGTTTAATAATATCCCACCAATGGGAACAAGTTTGAGCCAATAGATATTGTTCTATTCAAAATTCTTGGTCTAATTTATAAGCTATAATGACTATTATAAATTAGGAATTTTCCTCTCTATTGTTAATTTTCAGATAATTCTGTTGCATAGTAATAGAATACAAATAGACATTAAAATAGAATGTAAAGAGGGTCCATAGATTAAAATGGGTTCTGTTTATATACAGAGAGTTTCCCAGTATCATCAAAATCATTATCTTGAGAATATAGTCTTGTTTTCCCATATTCTGTAAACATTGCCATTCAAGTCACAAAATATGGCATTGTTATGTGAAAACAGTAAAAGAACAAGAGAATTGACCATTTCAGTGTGATTTACAAACTGTTATTACTCTATTTATTTATTCATACATCTAACAAAGATGAGTTGGCATTCCACCCATTACTTATAACAGGGTAGAGAAGGAAAGGAGGTATGCAAATGAGTTGAGCAGTCATTTTCCATGAATCATCTCGGCTATTAAAGAATTATGAACTCTCATTTTTGTGACAATAGTTTGTAAACAAAACAGAAAGTTATTTGGCATGAATCTATTTTCTAGTGAATGGAAGTAGTGAGAATATGAACAGGGCAGTAAGCTGTCCAATTCTAATGTGCTATTAAGAATATTGGAAAAATAGAGATAACATTATGATGTATTGTATTGTAACAGAAATGTAGCCCAAATAATCCTTTACTAGCTGCTCGGCAATTTGCCTTTTGTCCTTGATAAGCAAAGAATAAAAAGGAGCATTAATTCATCTCTTTTCAATGCTTTTGGGGGAGGGGGGTTGTTGTGTGTGTGTGTTTGTGTGTGGATTTTCTGCATATTCTTATCAACAAATTGAGGTTCTTATCCAAAATAGTCAAATACTTTTGAGCCAAGTATTTTATGTTTTTGTTTCTAAATTACTGTCTCAAATTGATTTTCTAAATCAGCATATCTTTATAGCATCATAGTCACACCCACGTTCATTTATCAATAGATGTTACCTTTTCATTGATTTTTCTTAACCTTTAAAATGTCACTTGGAAAGAATTAAAAATTACCAAAAAATAATTTTATTATTTACAATAAAGTATAGTGTGGATATAAAATAGGGTAAAGTGTGTATGTGTGTGGGACTCAGAAAGGGGAGCCCACCTGGTGTTAAGACGTTGACGTTCTTGACTCCGCTGACAGACTAAACACAGAGTATCTGGAGTGCAGGATAAGCTGCAGATGCAGAAGGAAAGACCACTACACGGGCACATATTTCAGACGTGAGCTTGAAATGTAAGTTAAATCAAACAAAGCTTTCTAAAAGATCAAAAAACAATGATCTAGAATTATTTGGGGAAAAATACCTGAAAGTTTACGTAACTTTCATAAGCATCATTACAAAACATATTTTACCAAGTAACTGAATAATCGACATTCTATCTGAGGCATTCATGTAATTTCTGTGATTTGAATTTATTTTTCCATCCTTTCAACATCATGTGAACAAAGCCAAAATCTTTTTTAGATATACCACCTAGTAATTTTTTTTTTGACAAAAGCAGAGAAAATAAAGCAAATTTGCATTGCAGGTATATTTGATCCTAGAAGTGATAGCAAGATGATTAAACAGCAGAATGGGTACAAGTATGCATTTTCCTTCCAAAAAATGGGAATGGAACACACCATAATAAATATGCTTCTGGTGGAAGTTGGAATTGCGTTATTAAAAGGAAGAAAGTCCCTCATAATAACACCGGAGGCACTAAAAGAAGAGAAAGGATTTGCAAAGTTGCTCAGAGAGTGTGATAATTAATGCTATGAATTTGATAGTGTAAAATTCTTCAAAAATACTAGTGGTTTTGGTTGGAGATCTACTCAGTTGAAGAATTATAGTGCCTGTATTACAACTTAAATATCCCCTTCCAAGGAGACAAAAAAGCAGCTTTATTAATATAACTATTAAAATAGGTTTATATATAGTGACACAAAAGGTGTTCCTTTGATGAATTGATTTTATCTTTAATTATGTTATATTTATTATAGAAGCTATGATTTTAATTAGAAGAAATAATTAGAAGAAAGAATAAGATTTTTTTTAGGATATAATAAATTTGTCATGTAGAGGTGGTGACCAAACTCCACCCTTAATATCTGATTAAGGAATTTCTACTTTTCCAGGGCATATTCAGGCTAATTAAAATCATGCTTGTGTTTTCATTAATGGGAACACAACAGTAATTCCTCGAGCTCATGATAAAAATGTATACTGCCTGATATCAAGTTGAGTTTCTGCTTTGATTATCAGAGGTCAGGAGAGTAAATGATTCATGGTCTTCCTTTATGAAAAATGAGTAACTATTTATTTTTACCAAAACAGAAAGGAAAAATGTTTATACATACAGAGATGACTGCAGTTTTCCTTTGGAAACATACTTTACCTACTAATAAATGTTAAAATAGTAACATTAAAATTCTGCAAGTCTCAATTCTTTTATTATTTAACAGGAGAAAAGTAATGTATATACTCCCATCATGGTCTAAAATTTAAACATCATATGCTACTTCAGAGTAACATTTGACCCATGTCTGTTTCCGATCCTGTTATGTTTGCATCTATTTTTTTCATAAAAGTATTGCTACTTATTATTAAAGCTACATTGTAAATAATATTTTTTAATTGTAAATATAATTTTTACAAAATTACTTGTAAATAATAGCAAATAACAGCTTCCATTTATGAAAAATTAAGTATTACTGAGGCTTTCCCGAATATTTTACTGAACTTAGCTCATTTCATCTTTTTTATAAATATAGTAAATGTGGGTACTGTTATTATCCCCACTTTGCAGTTATTAAATAGCAAAGCTGCGACCTGAACAAATTCTAACATTGTCCAAATCTACACTTTCTACAAAAAGAGTGACAGATGTGGAATAGTTTTGAACTTGAATTCCATCCTGATCTAAGACAATCTAGAAGAGTTCACCTTACTTATGGAAAAATAACCAAGGGTGGCATGTCCCTGCGCAGAAATTACTCTGTTGCCAAATAATGGAGTTCTCATTTCGTATGCAGTCTACTGGGGCCATTATGACCATGTAAGTGTTAACATTGGGAATGGAACATCAGCAACCATGGAACTAGAGAATCGTAACCTTTCCACAGGTTTACTCTTAAGATCTTTTTTTCTCCTCCCCAAAGCCCCAGTACATCGTTGTATATCCTAGTTGTAAGTCATTCTAGTTCTTCTAGGTGGGATGCCGCCTCAGCACGGCTTGATGAGTGGTGCATAGGTCTGCACCCAGGATCCAAACCAGCAAACTCTGGGCTGCCAAAGTGGAGCATGCGAACTTAACCACTGGGCCATGGGGCCTGGCCCCCTGGTTTTAATATCTTTGAATTTTCTCAGTGTTTTGAATAAATGAAAGAGAATATATTATAAATAATTGCATAAAATGGTCTGTTGTACTGAGATGCTCTATGTTTACCCACGCAAAGGAATGTTCTCAGATACTAGTTGAGATTTCAGGGGTAGCTGCTCTTCAAAGTTCTCACTATGCAGAGTATGCAAATTAATAAATCTCAAGAAATTCTGGAGAAAGCCTCCCCAAAAAATCAAACAAAACATTCCTTTGTCAAATTATTTCTGAAACGTCCAAAATTAAGCCACTATTAATATGTTTCTAATTTTAAAAGCAAATTTATGTGGGACTTCATTCACCTACATAAACTGATTCATTTGATTCTTTAATCTCTTGATCTCTGAGTATCTGGATGATCTCATCCTGCCTCCAACACAACTTATATATACTTTGCCTGCTCCATTAGAATAGAAGACTTATTGTATCGGGATTAGTACTTTGTAAGTACTTAGTAAGTACTTTGTACTTAGAGAAGGCCCAAACTTCTGGACAACTCTACTCTAGATTCATCTAGTTCCTTTTTAATTTAGTGAAAGGCCATTGGGAAGCCTTTCTATATTATCTATATTTAGTCATGATTAATTTGGATATGTCAAATGACACAATATGTCACACGCCAAAAATTAAAATGGAATAAGAAGGCACATGGCTATTGAGACATCATCAATGAACATTATCTTAAAAACTGGAAGTACCCAGTGTTATTCTTTTTTCTACGTGTGTTATATCGAGTCAACACATATCAAAGAATGGGGCAAAAGGCTAGTCTAAGTAAAGTCATTAAGGTCAGGATTTAAGGTCCTCTCTGGCATTCCCTTCATTCATATAATTGACTTCTGTGTATTGAACACATATTATGTGCCAGACCCTGTGCTAAGCACGTGTGATACAAGAAATAAAATGTGCTCTCATTACTAGAGAGATGCAGATAGAAGAAATAAAATGTGCTCTCGTTACTAGAGAGACGCAGATTTCTTGCAAAGGACAGTGTTAGTTTTCTCATGCTGTGTAACAAGCTACAACATACTTTGTGGCATAAACCAATACCCATTCATTATCTCACATTTCTGTATTCCAGAAGTCTAGGCAGGCTCATCTGGGTCTTTGACTGGGGTGTCCCAATGTGGAAGTCAAGGTTTCAACCAGGCTGGCCTCTTATCTGGAGGCTCCCAGGAAGAGTCAGCTTTCAAGCTCATTCAGGCTGTTGGCAGAAGTAAGTTCCCATGAGTGTAGGACTGAGGTCCCCATTTTCTTGCTGGCAGTCAGCTAGGAGTCTCCTTCAAATAGTAGTGGTCACTCAGCAGGCCCTTTCCTCCATCTTCAAGCCAGCAACAATACCCTCTTGTTTCAAATCTTTGACTTCCTCTTCTGTCCCTTGCTAGAGAAAATTCACTGCTATTAAATAGCACATTAATTAGATCAGGTTCACTGGAATAATCTCCTTATTTACTATTAATTGTAACCTTAATTACATCTGCAAAAATCTCTTTTGCTATTAGGGTCATGCTCCCTTAATGATGGGGAGCATTAGGTGATTTCGCCATTGTGGGAACATCATAGGGTGCACTCACATAATCCTGGATGGTATAGCCTACTGAACACCTAGGCTGTATGTGCTAATCTTCTGGGATCACCATCATAAGTGCTGTCCATCATTGACTCAAATATCCTTATGCGGTGCATGACTGAATAAAAGAGTGAGCGTCATTGGGATTATTTTAAAATTCTACCTACACAGACTACACTACACTAACAGGAGAATACAAAGCATAGATGGGTAAGGCTTTGGAATGTTATCTTTACACTTGCATTTGATGAAGCACTACTCAGTAATGCAAACATCTGGATGTAAAAGGAAATGTTAGAAACAGAAAAAGGAAGATTGTGGGGAAAGTAGCTAAGGGAGGTTCCAAGCCTCTCTTTTCCAGACTGAAGCTAATTAATAATCTGTATCAGATTTGTTATTCCGTGCTCTGTTTTATGTTATACTCTAGATCCCCTGGTGTTTAGTTTTCAATGCTGCTACTGTTGTTGTTGTTGTTAGCCAACCACTCTGTATTTGATGTTAACGTTGTAAATGATTCACTCTCCCTTTGGGAATTTTGCAGAAAGTTTTTAAATCTTTAATCAAGTGAATGTCTAGGTGTATCAGTCAGGATTACGCCAGAGAAAAAGAACCAGGGGGTATATAAGAATTTTATTGCCAGGTATTGGCTGATGAAAATGCAGGAGGTGGCTAGGCAAGTCTGACATGTATATGGTTGGCTGTCAGAGGGCAGTCTGGAACTCTGGGGAACAGGCTGAAGCTGCTGTCCACAGGCAGAATTTCTTTTGCTTCAGAGAAGGCTCAGCTCTGCTTTTAAAGACACTTAATTGATTGAATCAAGCCCATACAAATTGTCTAAGATAATCTCCTTTACTTATGTCATCTAATTATGGACTTTAATCGTATCTACAAAATGCCTTCACAGCAACACCTAGATTAGTGTCTGATTACGTAGCTTGGGACAGTAACCTAGTCAAGTTGACATATAGAAAACACCCTTACCAGTTTCTGCTTTTTCTTTTAAACAAACAAACAAAAGACTTACTTTCTTTCCAAAGTGTTGTTAGACCACACTCTATAGAACCATCTCTTCCTTTTTACACTGATTTCCTCAAATGCATATTTAATTGTCAGATACATCCACCCAAAGTGTTGTAAGCAAATGCTTGATGGCCTTGTACATGATTCAACCATCATGGTATTTTAGGAATGATCTTACACTTACATACTTTAATTTTTTTTAATTTTTTTTTTAAAGATTTTATTTTTTCCTTTTTCTCCCCAAAGCCCCCCGGTACATAGTTGTATATTCTTCGTTGTGGGTCCTTCTAGTTGTGGCATGTGAGACGCTGCCTCAGCGTGGTCTGATGAGCAGTGCCATGTCCGCGCCCAGGATTCGAACCAACGAAACACTGGGCCGCCTGCAGCGGAGCGCGCGAACTTAACCACTCGGCCACGGGGCCAGCCCCTACATACTTTAATTTTGATGAGCAAAATAAGTAAACACCAATAACACAAATAACATTATCTTTACATATTTTCTAACCTTGTTTTAACGTAAGTTAAGAGTCTTCTTACACTTCAAGTTTTAGAGCTGTTCATTGATGTCCACAGTCAGGGTAGTAAAGTGGTTTCAGGTCTAAGTGGCATATTCTTTCTACTCAGTGTCTTGTTTGCCCATATTCGGAAGAAAGACCTTGAATATGCTATGATAGAGAAAGGGAACACTTATTAATTTGGCAAAATTTTGTGGTTGGCTTGGTTCTCAGAGCACATCTAAGGTTTTTCTTGTAGACTCAGATTCCATGTCTTCTCTAAGATTACTGCAATTCATACATCAGACTATAGAATGACAAATTGACACTTTGTTTTCCCATGGTAACTTTTAAGTGTACAAATAAGAGGAGAAAGAAAAGGTTATCCATTTATCTACAAAAATGTTCAGTCAATAAACTTTTCTCTAAAAAACAGTGCTATTATCTTGAAACTTTCAAGATAAAAAATATTAAAAGCTTATGGAAAAGCTTTAATCCTTTTTAGCAATTTTTAAATGTCATTTAAGTTGTATTACCAATAATTGCTGTTGCTGTCTTCATCATTTATTCACAGAGAATATAAAGGCCTGAAAAACTGGAAGACAAACTGACTGGTTTTAATTGTTATGTGAAGAGCATATTGACATTTTTTCTTATTTTCCTACTTAATAAAAAATCCCATTTATATTTGAGTCAAAAATCTTTTTTCCAAAGCTTACATGCTCAGGTGAAATCTTTCTAAGGAAAATACACATTAAAGAGCTATGCTTTTGTTTGCTTATGAGCTTAGAATTCCTTTCTACATTATTCTAAGAAAATATTATAATTATAGTTGTCACAAAGTATTCATTCTCTGGAAATATTGCAAAGTATGCAACCATATTGTTATGGTGGAGATTTCAGATACCTGAATGCCTTTGGTTTATTTTTGAAAATGCTATGAGATATACTGTGGGATTATTTCAATCCACAAATTTTACCTATGGAGAAAAAACTTAAATAAATCTACTTTAATGCAAGTCATGATAATTTTATTTTGAAAGGAGTTGGATTTGACAGATTTTTAACTGAAATCAAAATATAAATGTATATAGAAATAGAATTTTGGAAACATTCTTTTATAAGTTTGTGAATGTCGCTATGTTATTTCACAATGTGTTCTGTGTAAATCAAGATTTATGTAGGTTTCTTCTACACAAAACACAAGTTAATTGAGTAAAAGAGATGTACAATGATATAGCACTGTTCGACTCATCATTATTAGGTTAAGTTGATACTGCAAATAACTATTCAAGCCAGTGTTGATATAGTCTAGGTTGATAAACTATGGCCTGTAGGTCTAAACAGACTGACTAATCATTTTTGTATAGCCCACAAAGAAAGATGTTACATTTTAAATTATTATATAAGTACCTACATAATATCCTCAATTTTGCCTCTTTGCTGCAAACTCTAAAACATTTGCTATCTAATCCTTTAAGAAAAAGTTTGCCAACTTCTATGTCAAATGAACATAGAAGAATGCGGAGTCCGAAAACCTGAAATGTAGTTTATTGTTTTTAAATTGTTCTCTGTATGACCTCAGACAGGATGCACTTAATTTACGTTAGCCTCAATTTCTTCATCTGTAAAATGGGCATAATAATACAATTTGCTCACCTTATTACATATAATACTTCTCAAAGGAAATAATGTGTATGCAATCTCTTTGAAAAGTACATAACACTATTAAATGAATGTATGATGGAATCAGAATATACGTAAGGCTTGTCTTTAAGAGTAGGCTCTGGAGCAATTGCTGAATTTCAATCCCAGATAATTTACTCCCTAGCATTGTTGACTTGGGGAAAGTTACCCTAAATTAATCTGTTACTTTACCTAGCAAGCTTTCTATAGCCTGGTTCTTTGAAAGAGTTGAGATCCTGCTAAGAAGTAGCTGCTGGCAGGTCCCTGTGTCCCTGATTAGTTCTTACCAGCTTCCCTCCTGGAAATCTGCCTTCATTGCCCATTGGCATTGACAAATTTCCAGATAATGGCTGGTTTCTTCCAGAATGGGCTTCCTATGGGACTGATCCTCTTTGTGGTTCAATTGCCTGGAAACACCTGACTCTGATCTTGCTCTGCAATTCAGGCAACGTGTCTTTTATTGCTATGTTATTGCCTCCCGGGCCACCTTTCATAGGTGCATCATTTTCTCATAGCCTCCTCTCACATTAACTTGAAGGTCTTTCTTCCGACTTCATTTCTTCCTCAATAGTCTTGGAATGCTGAGGGGCTATTGCATAAAGTGATTGGGTGGACTAAGCCCCAACACTGAATTCCAAATAGATTACGTTGTTAGAGTTCCTATTATAAAAATCCCCCTTTTCCTGAGTGAATGCCATAAATCTCACTTGTTGGCATAACAGCAGGAATCAGAAGGCCTAATGTAAAACCTAAGAATAAAATTCTTCTACTGGATGTTTCCATGTTGTATACCAGTTCGTGAAATCCAATGGTACATTCATGCTCCTATGCTTAGTTCATCTGAGAATCATACCAGTAAACATCCCTCATAAAGATGCCCTTTCTGTATTAAATCAAGCACAAATATTTGTCTTAGACTACTGAAATCCAGGTTTTCGTGATGTCTTTATGCTCAAGAGATTATGTCAGCTCTCAGCTTAGGGCAATTTAAAGGACACCTTCAACTTCAGCCAGCTTTAGGGCTCATCCGTGTCCCTGAGTCACTTATGCTAACCACCAAACTTCAGACCTGCTGAGCATTAAGTATTTATCCCTAACATATCAGAATTTTCACACATTTGTGATTTGGACCAGCCTATTTCCCTAGTTCTTCTAAACTAGACTGAATTGAGTAGATGATCCTAAGAGGGTTGTCTCCACAGAAATCCTTAGCTGAAATGTCCATTCAAGGACATGTCAAAACTCAGTTCAGAAAAGCCTGATTTTTTCCACCAATTTGCTCACTTTGAAAGCAATCAAAGTTCACTATAACAAGGATAATAGTCTTTCGATTAGAAGTAAGTATTGGAGAGAAAACATAAAGTTTACATTGTAGTAATTCTGGAATAATTAGAATTACTTCAAGTTATTTATAAAAAGGTTACTCTTGTTGTTCTTATTGGAATTTTTATTTAATTATTGTTAAATCATCTTGCTTTGGAGTAAGTTTCATACTTATGTGAATTTTTTCTTAAAGTGAGAGAAAGCAAAGTGTAGCAACTTAGTTTTACCATAATCCATTATCTTGCAACTAACTGCAAGTATGTTTGTCCTCTGTCATTAATATAATAAATTGTATGCTTTAATTATAAATGAAGGTATAAATTGTGAAATATTAATTTTCTCAATAAATGTTTATTAATAATATATGATTCTGATATTTTCATATCCATAGCACTGAGTTTAAAATTAGTAAAAAATAAAAAAACTTAAAATGACAATTTTATATAATAAAAAATAGCTCATTTTTAAGTGGAGAAGAGTACATACTCAGTGAGACTGAAAAACATTCAATTAAATCGTAAAGTTGGCTTGTCATTATGAAATATGACTTACATAAAAAGGCCCCTTGAAATAGCTCGTGTTTTCTCCACTGGAAATCAAGAACCTAATTCTTGGTCTTTAGGTAAGAAAAACAACACTCTGTGATAAAGGTAAATGATCCTTGCTTTGTAGCCCCTTTGATAGAACTACCCTAAATGAAATAGTTCTAGTGTGGTGAATTGTGATAGCTTTTCATATTCCCAAGCAGGGCAGAAGCATCTGGAAATCTAATTCTCCAAAGATTTTTCTGTGCTGCTTTTAAACAGAATAGTAAAATGATGGAGCAGGTAAACATCTGCCAGTTACAGAAAACCAATATTTTGTTCAATAGGACATTACACTGTGTGTTCAGCAAATATTTACTGAGTATCTATTTTGTATGTAGTACTTACATTAAATAATGTGAGAGCTATCAAATATATAGTCCTTTTACACAAACATGTATGATTAAGTTTGGAAAGAAGTCAGACAAGATCCAGGAACAAAAACCTAGAGATTGAGAAATTACAATCCGATAACAATTAAAAGGACCAGCTTTCATCTTTGAAATGGTGGGAAATCACTTTATAGGCAGATCAAAGAGAATTTTTAATTATAGGCCAGAAATTTGCATTTTATTCAATAAGCAACTGGGGACTATTGAGGTTTTTTTGACCAAATGAGTGACATGTCAATTATTAAGCTTTATAATATATATCTTCATATGCTATTCTTAACCATATAAAAGGGACATGTTGGGAGATGGGGGTAGTTGCTTCTGGAATCAAGTTTAAAGTATTATTGGCCGGATAACTTCTTAGTGACGTCTGTAGTAAAATAGTGCCAACACTCTATAGTACTAGAGAGAACAAGAATGCTGTCCAAATGCTGAAAGCTGGTAACATAGGCTAAATTGTCAAGGAGGGCTTATTAGCCTTAGTCACTTAATGGCCTTAAACAAAAGAAAACACCCTGTGTTAATGATATTATGGATATTCTGCAAAAAAGAAAAAAGCAAGCCTTTATCTTTTCCATAGCACACTGAAATATTTTCAGATAGACTAATATAATGTCAGGGATTTGCTTCGAAAGTACACAAGGTGAAGTAAAAGAACAGGGTTAGAGAATAAAAGGAACAAGATTGGCCACAAATAGCTAAATGATGAAGCTGGATTTGGGGAACATAGATATCTTTTAATACAGTTTCCTCTACTTTTTATGTATGTTTGAAATTTTGTAATAAAATGTTGGAATAAAAAATTTGAAACTGAACAAAAGAAAATAGTCTTTTGTCTATTTTTACTCCAATGCCCAATATGAATCTCAGATTTGGCCCCTCCAGTACAAACTGAGGGCCTTCCAGAACTCATCCAACAATGAAAAACAGAAAATTACACAAAAGCTTGGGAAAGATTTTGCTCAATACTGGAATATTTATATTTTTTGGCTAGACACCTTTCTAGAAGCCACACCCCTATGCAGTAGCTGATCTGTTTCTCTGTGGTATTGGAATCCATTTTCCTCACTTTTACCTATTCTCAATGGAAGAGGAGCGAGTGCAAATGAGAATACAGCTAATCCCACTCATCAACCATAAGGAGCTGGTCATGATTTATTTCAGTTGATACACCTGCCAATGTCAT